GGGAACACTATTAGCTTTTAGGTTTATCTAAGGCATATGCCAGAAATGTGGCTTCACACCAATATTTCGGCCAATCCTAAAAATTTGTTGTGTATAGATATCCTAAGAATTTATTGTATTCGTCATATTTCTTTTCAAAATAAACAGTATTTGAATATCTTACATCAAGAACACCAGCATCGCTTATATCAAGAACAGCAAGCCCAACTGGACAATCGGCGCAAGATGTATGTGATGTTACTAAAAGGCTTCCATATATCACCTACCGCTATATCAGGCCCTTCGGTCCTGAGCGGCACACCTCCAGCTAGTAGGTACAGCAGGTTCAACATATCCGCACATCTTCGGAGCCAGCACGAGTGGTTGCTTACTCTCCCACATGCTGATACGAGACGTCTATTTAATTATCATAGAACAAGTATTATGCCCTATCGGATTTTACTTTCTTACACCGTAACACTGATATCGCACACGTCCCCCTTGTGAACGATGTGTGGAATATCAATTTTTTATTTGTCACACAGTGAACTAGTTCTCATAATTCAAATGCTTTTTCCCTAGAAAGTACTGAACATATCAGAAAGAAAAATTTCTAAAAATATTCAGAATACGTTGCTGTTTTCTTTACTTTCAGAATTAGCAGAAACAAAATGAAGACAATCATTTTGTAGCTGACCACTGCTTTAAAATCTACAGAATTCTTGAAAAACATCATCATCTCTAACGAAGAAAATCCAGGAAAAGATGTATTGGTCTTAGAAACAGGTAAGCAGAATTTTGTAGACTAGAAGTTTAGAGCTTTTTTACAAGACGGCATGGTGAAGTACTGGCACCATGACCACTTCCACGGCTTAACCCCATTTAGATCCGAAATTGCTGTCAAGAAACCTAAAACAGTCCTCGCTGAAAATTTCCTGCAGTATTTTCCGCCCCCCTCCCCCCGCTTCTGTTTTCCGTTTCCCCTCGTTTCCTAGATGACACATGGCTATTACTGTACATGCGATTTGAACAACCAAAGTCTCATTCATCCTGTTTTTTTTTCTTTTTTTTTTTTTACATAATTCGCAAAATACTGTAGCGTTAGCAACATCCAGGAAAGTCTGTCATGATAAACGTGTTATCACGCGGCTGATTAAATTCCTAGCTTCAGCACTACTTAGAAAATTATGACTGCATATGATAACGCGCTATCATTCCGGCAACAGATAATAATGTCATCAGCTCTTTAAAAAAAAAAAAATAATAGTCCAGAAGTTTTTAGCTTAAGGAACGCACAAAAACTAAGTCAAATTAACATC